CCCTTTTGCAGAACAGCCCATTCTAAGTCAAACCAAAGAAAGTTAAAAAGAAAAAAAAAACAATTGGAAACAAAAGCAAACAGCACTATTACTTAGAAATTCTCTATTTTCCCATTTTTTTAATAGAGGCAATAAATGCCAATTTCCAGATTCCTCTGTGTTTTTGTTTGTGAGGCAATAGAAGGGATTTGTCCTTCCATCCATTCCACTAAAATCCCATTTCAAGACTTGACACATTTCTTACAAGTATTGTCCAGTGATTTGAGGAGTCAGTAGTTGACTGGACAGCTTCAAGTGGCCAACAGGCACCAGATGCATCATGGATACACTTGAATGGATTTTTATTACACCTCAAAAAACACCACAAAAGGCTGTGCCTTGAAAGAGGAAAAATCACTGATTCACCTCTGGATGACCTAAGCCTACCGTATGAATGCATGGGATAAACTCCCAATATCATCAGCATTTCTATTATGATCAAATGCAAGTCAGGAAAGTCCCACTGACTTGCAGAGGCAGATAATGGTTACTGCTGAAAATGAAACCAAATTCTGCTTCCTAGGGGAAAAAAAACAACACTGCTATTGCTGCTGCCGCTGCTTCTTTCTTATTTAAAAACAACCAGCTGACTGTAAAGGAAGCAGAATCATTGCTTTCTGGTAGCATTTTAGACACTTAACTCAAGCGGGCACAGAGGGAAGTCTGTTTGAGAGAAATCAAGGGAAATCAACTGACACGGCTCCGGAGGTGAGTAGAATCCTGATATACAACAGTGGTTATCTCTGCAGAGTTCTAGAACAAGTTTCTCTAATGTGTTAGTCCTTTGCACTCAAGGGAATTCAGAAGAGGTCAAGTGCATGATGGAAACTGCTCTTACTACATACCTGATGGCATCATTTGCACAGTGACATCCATGTGCAACGTCTTTGTGGCCTCCATCCATAATGCTGGTTCACAGCCACCAGCAGGCATTTCTAGCCAGGGGCTCAACTGCCTATGGCTCCTAGCCAAAGCCTTGTCCATCCAACTCTTGATGTGTTTGTAGGCAGCTTTCTCAGTAAAATCCTTCTGTGGGCAAATCCAGGTTTTCTATGGGGTTTAATTCATCCTGTTCAGGGAAAACCTCTGTTCGGGAGCCCTAAGGAGAAAAGGAGCCATGCCTACTATTTATCCCATGTTTCTTTTGGACCAGGGTAAGACTGTCTTCTTTCCCAGGTGTATTTTAGTTATTTTTTTCATTTTATTTTAAGGGTTTTTATTACATTGAGACAGAGAAATAGATGAGAGAGGGGAAGACAAAGAGAGAGATGATACATAATACAATAAATAGCTTGTGTATATTGCTGTTTCCATATTTTTTATTTTATATAATTATCTTCAATCCCCTATGATATACTGAGAATTCCAGGTATTGGATGGATTATGAAAGGTAACAGGTTGATCAAAATATTTCTGCAATAGCAGTAGGAGCCTTCCTGTACTAGAGCCATGAAAGCCTTCCCAAACCTGTAACTCCCCAGATATATTGAATCTGATAGAATTCCCAGAGGGCAAATTTTAGTTAATGTTTTAAAAGCACCCTCAGAAGAATGTGACAAATAGCTCAGAAGTGCAGAGATTCTGATATCGTCTACGACAGAGGTCCCCAACCCCCGGGCCGTGGACCGGTACTGGGCCACGGCTGCCAGAAACCAGGCTGCGCAAACAAGCAAAGGCCAATCCATGGGATGCAGGCAGCACACGAACCACACCCCCTCCGGTCCGCGGAAAAAAAACCTCTCCCCGCAGAACCGGTCCCTGGTGCCTAACAGGTTGGTGGCCTCTGGTCTACAAAATGGTCTATTGTTTCCCTTTGGCTTTGCTGTTTGGCATAATTTAAAGAAAAAAATGTATTTAAATCTCATATGCAGAGGAGGGTCATATTTCAGGTAACTTGTTAGGGCCATCTTCAAAAGCAAGTTTCTAGTCCAGATATAAAAGATAGTGCAAAATAGTTCTTGGTGTCTACAGGGGTTTGGGGGTAGGTAAATCAGTCATGGGGGTTTACAGGAGTGCACAGGGGGAGGACAAATGAAAAGTGCATGACCCCAGTTTGCTATAGTCACCACTGGAACCCATGCACCAGCCCATGTGCCAACAAGTCAGTAGAAGCTGAGAGAGTGAGCAATAAACACATGACTCCATCTCCATTTACTTTGAAAACTATTGCAGATTTGGGGTCCCAGACAGTCCTAATATTTATCAAAACCAGAATGTAGGGATTCTTTAGAAGAGGAAGTCATTCAGTAGAAAACATCCAATGTTGCTTTAGGAATACTGTGCACAGGGCAAGACTAAGTACAGTGGCTATCTTGTCAGGCCCAGTTCTCTAATGACATCTAAACCTAGGAGAGCGGATGCAAAAAGGAAGCAGGCATCTCAATTACAGCCAAAGGATGCTGGCCGGTTGCCTTCTCCCCTCCCTCGGCGTCCCTTGTCTCTTTCCAAGCCTCTTCTGGGAAGCTCTGTGTAGATGCTATTGTTAGGTTCCTGCGACTCTCTTCATTCTTCATTTCACCTCTGTTGGTTTTGTTCTCATGATTATTCCTTCCTCTGCTCTAATGGAAAAAGTAAAGTGGAATCCCCATTTAGGACTCAATCCTGTTCTATAATGCTCTTCCCTCTAACCATGACCAGGTCCTTGAGTTGTTAGGGAAAATAATGCTGGATTAAACCACACAGGCACTATTTTTAATACAAGGCTACCTTGACCATGAGGTCTGAATATCATGTGGTCCGAATCATCACACTGATGACTGGTGTTCCCAGTTCTGATTTCTGTCATCCCAGAGGGCAGGATATAGGATTTGAAGTACAGGCAGGCAAGCTCTGATAAGAAGTGAGGGTGAAAAAAAATCATAACAATAAGATGATGGAACCAAACCAAAGAGTTGGTGGACTTGCCTTCACTGGTTGCAATCATGCAGTTGTGCAGGATCTGACAGCTACCTACCCACAATAGTTTAATTCAGAGCAGGGGCCTAGATTCAGTAACTTGATAACTAGGTCATTAGTTTGATTGGAATGAGACTGGCAAAGATTGGGTGAGGCCAAAAAAAAAAAAAAGTAGATTTTGTACATCCAAAGGTTTTCCAGCAGAACAACACAGCCATCTTGGTTTAGTGCAGGGATAGGCAACCTTGGGTTGCCTACCCCTGGTTTAGTGATTAAGGCACCAGGCTAGAAACTGGCTGGCTGACTTTAGGCCAGTCCCTCTCTCTCAACCCAGCCCACCCCTCAGGGTTGTTGTGGGGAAAACAGGAGAAAGGAATATTAGGTATGTTTGCCATCTTGAGTTACTTATAAAATAATAAAGGCGGGACAAAAATCATATAAATAAACAAACACACTCAAACAAACATACTACTTCAGCAAAGCACGTGGTTTTTTTCTTCTATGTGCCTGGGCTGACTAGGAGAGATTGGAATTTCTCTTATTGAGCTAGATTTCACAATTCTTAGAGCAGGGGTGTCAAACTTACAACGCCACAGGACGTGTCGCGATGTATCACAACTTTTTTTCCATTGCCGGCAATGGGGTGGGCGCGGTTTCGCCATGACGCATCCGGCCCGCAGGCAAGCAGTTTGACACCCCTGTCTTATTAAGGATATGGGATATAATTTAAAAATACACTTCTATTCTTGGGAAGAAATATGCCCTTTTGTCCTTAATAATTTTAGTTCTTACCTTACCAGCTGGTTATGCATATATTTCTTGATGCAAGCTTCCAAGAACCTTGCATGAATAGAACTATTGTATTTGGATAGATGCTTGGTCTGATCCAGCATGCCTCTTTCTGTTTTGGGCAGACAAGTAGCCCTCAACTTATGACCATTCATATAACAGCAATTCAAAGTTACGATGATGCTGGAAAAAGTGACTTGTGACAGGTCCTTATATCAATAACATGATTTGGGTGCTTGGCAATTGCCATGAATTTACAATGATTGTAGTGTCCCAGGGTCATGTGGTCATCATCTGCAACCTTCTCAAGGGACTTCTGATCATTTTCTGGCAAAAACAGATCAATTGAGGAAGCTGGGTTTACTTAACAGTTTGTGATTTGCTTAACAACCATGGCAAAAGTGGTTATACAATTGGACATGGCTGACTTAACCACATGGCTTAATGGCAGAAGTTCTAGTCCCAATTGTGATTTTAAGTTGAGGACTCCCCAAAATAGATTGGATGTCTAAACTCATGTCAAACACCTGCCCTGAACTAGAGAGTAACAATTGTTTTTTTTAAATTAGATCGATAGAAATCTTTATCCATGCATCTTCAAGGCAGCTCCCAAAAGAAATATATAAAAGCATACTGTTAAATAAAAACATGAAATAAAACTACAGATCGCCATTTAGTACTAAAATAATGCACCAAAAAGAGCATACAAGAGTAAGTTAAAGGTTAAATGCAACTATCAATCCACCTGAGCAGGAAATGCTTTAGCTTTAGCCTGAAAGGCAGCAGCAGCAAACGTCTATGGAAGAATTTTTAAATTTGGAGACCAGCCCAGCAAGTTTCTGCTGAATTATAAACTTCGCTCTCTCAATTCTCAAGATTGCTTGCAGACCTAGCCATGGACAGACGTAGTCATTACTGCCATTGGGCAGTAAGATGCAAATGCTGGCTCATTTCTTCAGATGAAACTGGAGTTGGAGGCAGTCAAATGTCTTGGGCTGCAGGTCTACCCAGTAACTTTCAAGGTCAGGGGACACACTGCAAATGACTCTGAGCATGGTCTCAATTGACAGGCATGCTTTTTTTAGAAGGCAATAGGCTAAAGAACCGTTTCTCTGTGGCAAAGGAAAAAATATATCTTCCTACTTCCATATCAATTGTTGTTTTTTTAAAAGTCCTCAGTAAATTAGCTTTTATTGACAAAAACAGTGCAAAGCACCTTAGCTTGAGTCAACCTGCTGAACTATTATGATATTAATGAATGTCACTCTTTTTTAAAGATATTTCTGGAAAAATGGCCAAGTTCCTACCAGTTCTGCTGTTTGCAACCCAGCTTTCTTTGACAGCAGGTGAGAGTTTTCTATTGGTTGTTTTCCAATAATATTCTCAGAATTGTCCACCAAATTTAGAATTTCAGATTTGTGCCAGAACTTTAAGCTGCTCCCTAATCCCTAAAAGTTCAGGTCAGGAGAACCGTTGCAGTAATGGGCTTTCAACCAAAGTGAATCAGTGTTGTAGTGCTTTGTTGTGGCCGTGCTCCTTTGGGTACAAACCCTGTTGCAATTTAGTGGGAGATATTCAAAAGGACAAGTGTTATTGCTTGTGTCTTTTCCGTTCAACCAGCATAAAAGATGTTCCAAACTTACCTGGAGTACCAGTAAATGAGAATATTTGCAGCTCAGGTTTGAACTGTGACATCCCTGATGCTCTCTGGGCTTGATTGTTTCCTTGTAGAGGTCTCATTACTCAACTAAGTAACATCATCAGTGCTAGAAGGGAATGGGATTTGCTGACTGTTTGTATACAAGTGGCTTGCCCCATCAGTGTTGGTGAGAGCGATCTTGACAGTCCCTTGATTATTGCTACTGTTTACTGTTTGATTGTCTGAGTTGCTGGTTCCTTGATTGGGGTATTGTTTATCTAGTTAGGTAATGAAATGTATGCAAGAAAACAACCAAGCTCAGAAAGGTCCAAGGATCCCATGTATCTGGAGTAATCTCCAAAGGATTGGTTCCGGTTATGAATTCAAACTCATGGTAAGCAGCTAGGAACCAGAAGCATTTTGGGAAAGAAGCCACATCTAAGCAGGCTTGGAGGAATCAGCTGGAACCACCAACCTGACACTTAGGGCACCAGTCTGGATTTTTCATTTTGTAACTCACCACATAGCCATGATAGCAGGTTTATGAGCAGGGAAGACCATCCTTGTGGCATTCATTAGGCTTCACATTCAGTCTGAATGCCAAATACCAGCAAAATTTCTTTCCCCACACCCCAATTCATGCTATTGAGGATTTCCATTTCTAGAATTACGGATTTTTTTAGAATCCTCTTCTTGATACTCACAGATCCTTAAAATTAGCATAACATGTGTTTTAATAATCATAACTAGAAGAAGAAAAATGTTACTAATTGCGCTATCACTTTCTTGTAATATCTGCAAAAAATCTTTTTTTTTTTTTTGAATATGCCTGGAATGTCTCACAGTAATCTCCCTGTTTATGGATCATGTGAAGTGGGCTGTAAAAATAAAACACTGGCTAGAAATTAGGGGCTCTTCACAATGAAATTGTTTCAAAGAGCCCACCTCAGGTATCTTTCTGCACTGCCTTTGGCTGCTTCTCAATTTAGAAGCAGCTCTCCTGCTCAGCTCTGCTCAGCTTCTCATTCTCCTTTTTCTAATTTTCAAATTGAAATGGATTGCTTCTCATTTCTGCATCAGTTCAAATCAAAAAGAAAAAAAAGGATCCGATTAGAAATATTTCCCCATTTTTTGTAGTTTTTTCTTCTGATAGTTCTATGTTTAGTAGAGATTTTTCCTAACATTATATATATGCCCCTTTCATCGATTTAGGAATTTTTTTCACTCTATCAGTGAAAGTACAGCCAGCAAAAAACAAAAACAAAACTGCTTTGCATACCAGAAATGGAAATGATATTACTGAGTAAAATCTACATTAAAATGAGGACCAAAGGAAATGACTATTTCCGAGATTATAGTTACTCGTCTAGAAAGGCTGTAATGATTAAAACTATTCCCTTAATTCCTTACAGTTGATTCAGCTTCTCAGATTTACTTTATGGGAGCAACAATGACTGTAAGCACATGAATGTGCAATCCCTTAGAAAAACATGTCACACAAGTATAAACCAAAGGCATTTAAATGATTAGAGATCAATTATACAAAGTATATAAAAAGAGATCAAACCCACTTCTTTCTAGCACTGATTACTATTACCTAGTTTGATAAGGAAACATCTACAGGAAAACAACCAAGCTCAAAGAGCACTAAAGACCTCACACTTTAGTTAGTATAAACCTTGGGGGTTGTGTTTCATTTATATGGAAATGCACATATTTAGATATTCAACATATTTAGGTATTTGCAAAATAGCAATAGAAGAGAATATTTGTAGCTCAGGGTTGAACTGTGGGGTCCTTGGTGCTACAGCACTGATGATGTTACCTAGTTTGATAATGAAATATCTGCAAGAAAACAACCAGGTTCAGAGAGCACCAAGGACCCCACATGATTAGAGGTGTTTCTGCAGGCTCCTACTTAACTGAGCTACAATGCACATATTTCTGAATAAAAATGTTAATTGCCTGGTGGATACTCAAGTTCATTTTTTTTCTTTTTTCTTTTTTCCAGCTTTATTCCGAGTGAGTGTTATTCAGCCTCATTACTTTGCAGAATATGGAAGCAATGTGACTATAGGTTGTCGCTTTCCAACTGATAACTCCTTGAATCTGACACAGTTGAATATTTTCTGGCAGCAAAAGTTGTCAGATGAAGCCAAGGAAGTTTACAAGCTCCAAAATGGACGAGAAGACTTGTCAGGGCAACACCAACATTTTCAAGGAAGAGTTACATTATTATATGAGGAATTGAAAAGAGGCTATTCTATGTTACAAATCACCCATCTAAGGATCACAGATGCTGGACGTTACCTTTGCATGGTCAACTATCGTGAAGCTGATTACAAGTACATTGACTTGAAAATCGAAGGTTAGTAGCCATAGAATGTCAGGAGGGAAAAGCCGAATGATTTGCCATTATTTATCAGTCAGAATTTCAGGATATGCTTTTACATATTTAGCACTGAAGACTACCTGTAGGAGAAAGGATGTATTAGTCTAGGGTGGCCAAAAATCTGCCTTGATAAAAATGATTAGCCTGGAAATTGCTACCCTACTCCTTCTTAAAAACTTGGTATATTAATCCATTATGCGGGTAGAATTGTGTCAAAGCACATGGGGATTATGGGCCCTCTTTGCTCCTTCTCTGCTGACTTCATACTACAGAGGCAAGATTTCAAGCGTGGGGTTATTTTACTTACAATAGCTGTCATTTATTTTAGAAGATCATGTAGAGGGTCTACACAACCAGCCATGGAAGGAAACTACCCAAGGAAAACAATCTGGTTATGTTCCAACAAAGTGACCCAGATGGCAGTGGGGGGACCAGGGTCATCTCCAGGCTCCCTCACACTCTTGTAATCATGGAGAGATAAGGCTCATTGTTGTCATCATTTGTTTCATAGCAAATAAACAGTTAACCTTCTTCATATCTTCTCAGTTATCCCTATGAATATCCACAGAAGAAGTGAGATTCTACTTCCTGCCTCCTATTTTTATGGCTTTGCAGAAATTTCCCTGGAAGGGAAGTTCTGAAGTTATCTCTCCCCACCCCCAATCTTGAAAAAGACATTCTGACTTACATTTTATACTGTAGCACCTGCCATTTTTTCCCTTTGTATCAGAAGAGTGAAACGTTAATGAATAGTTTACCTTTAGCATGCAGATTTTTAATAATGCAACTGGGAGTTGGTGTGTGCATTAATAACTATCAAAATGCAGCAGACAGCAAGAGAGATTTAAAACCTTTCTTCTTTTATGTGGCCATGATCAAAATGGCTCCTTCTAAACCAGTGGTTCTCAACCTTTTTAATGCCGCGACCCCCAACCAGTCGTAAGTCGAGGACTACTCAACTGGTCGTAAGTCGAGGACTACTCAACTGGTGCAGCACCGTTTGCAGAATGGGACTTTTGGCGGGCTCAGCAGGGCAGAGACAGCCTGGACAATGCCTATTGGCTTTTGAAAGCCAATAGAATTAGACTCTATTCAAGAGAGTCTATTCTATTGGCTTTCAAAAGCCAATAGAATAAAAGGGAGTAGCACAGCTAAGGAAAAGGGAAAAAAAATGGCGGACTGTGTTGTTTGGCGACCCCCGTGAAATGGTCGTTCGATCCACAGGTTGAGAACCACTGCTCTAAACTTTTGTTATTGGAAGGAAAACTGCTAATAATACCATTGTAGTTTTCCCCCCAAACACTTTTTAAAGACCTGCACAGTGAACGAAAAAGTGCATTTAACAAAATCAGCACAAAATATATTTCCTTGTATAATGCTTTTGTCAATTACCTCCAAGGGGGAAAAAAACTAACAATGGTAGAGAACTATCTGAAAGAAAGGTCTGAAACCTGGAGAGAGCTTGAGTAATTGTTTTATTTCTTTTTTATGTAGCACCTTACAAGAGGATAAAGATTCAGGAAAGAGAAGAAGATGAAGGTCACTTCTTAATTTGCCAGTCAGAAGGGTACCCTATGGCTGACGTTCTTTGGCTTTATGAAAACAGAATCAATGACACAATATTTGCAAACACTTCATATAAGCTGACAGACACAGGACTTTTCAACGTAACCAGTGTCTTGAGAATCAGACCAAGTGCTCCTGCGAATTACAGCTGCATATTCCAAAATAAGGAACTGAGGCAAACATCAGCTTCCAGAACAGTATTTCTAATAGGTAAAAAGATTAATGCATCGATTATGTGGGAGTTTAATCCTTGCAGAACTGAAAAGGCCCTATAGGATTCCAACCATCAAAATGGCAAAGAATAAAATAAAAATAGATAAGAGAGAACTGGCCTGCAATATTGAAGAAACAGGTGGATAATCACTAAGGAACCTGAACGTAGGATAGCTGAAAGAAAAGGTCTAAGATGCAATGGGTTAAAATCTAGGAAGAATAATTGAATGTAGCCAGGACTGGAAGGAAACCACGGGCAGAGAAGATGGATGATTTTTTTTCTTCTGAAACAAAGTATAGTGAAGAATTATTCTAATCCGATCTGCCAATTATTTTGTCTCCTCTCAGAGCCACAGATTGCATATCAGATATAATTGCAGCCTTAGGACTTTAGTGTAGAATTGGTGCATTTCAGATTCCAAAGAACTTCAATTTAAAAAAAAAAAAACATGCAAAATTTCAGTATTTGTGGAGACATGTAGAATATCTCACAAGCTGTTTAAAATCAAATGGAGCACCCAATGCATGCATTATACATCAATCTCTTCCCATGAGCCTTAAATCCACTTCTCTTCTTATTCTTATCTTTCCTTATCTTTCATCTTAACAATCATTACTAAATGATTACTAAAATCGTCTCTCGAGTCATACATTGCTATCCAAATGTATGTCAGAAATTCTTTCTGCATATTTGCATGTCATTTTCAAGATGAATGTTTATGCAGAGCTAAGAATGGGGTGATGTATTCTGGTTAAAGACAGAGTATAAGCAAGGTAGAGCATGCCAGTTTGGTGGTACCAGATAAGGCATCGAGAGTGTGAGCTCTAGTACTGCCTGAGGCACAAAAAAAGCAGAGTGACTCTCTGTATCTCAGCTCTAGGAAGCAAGCAATGGCAAATCACTTCTGAAATCTTGCCAAGCAAACCACAAACAGGAGTCAAAACTAGCTTGAAGGCATAGAAGAAACACCATCTGAAATAGACAGCTCAGCATTGTCTGAATACGCAGCCAGGATACTGCAGTGGAATTTGGACTGGACAAATATGCCACCCTTATCGTCAACAAGAGGGAAATAGTACAAACTGAAGCAATCAAGATGTTCAATGGAAACAATATCAAGAGTCTGGATGAATACAATGATTACAAATACCCGGACATCCTTTAAGACAGTGGTTCTCAACCTGTGGGTTGGGACCCCATTTGGGGTCGAACGACCATTTCACGGGGGTCGCCAAACAAGGCTGTCTGCCATTTTCCCCCCTTTTCTTTGGCCACGCCCCTAGCACATGGTGATGTATAAGTGGTTGGGGGTCACGACAACATGGGGAACTGTATTATGGGGTCACGGCATTAGAAAGGTTGAGAACCACTGCTTTAAGATAACGACATCAAGCACACTGAAGTCAAGAAGAAGGCTAGGAGTAAATACATTACAAAAATGAAGAACTTAAAAGTCCAGATTAAGTGGAGGAAATATCAAGGCAATTACTACCTGGGCAATTGCAATCATTAGATACACAGCTGGAAGAGTGGACTGGACTCACCCAAAACTAAAAGAACTAAAAGCATCCATAATTCTATAATATATGGCAGGGGTCCTCAATCTTGGCAACTTTAAGATTTGTGGACTTCAACTCCCAGAATTCCTCAGCCAGCTTTGCTGGGAGTTGAAGTCCACAAGTCTTAAAGTTGCCAAGGTTGAGGACCCCTGATATATGGGACCAAACATTTTCCAGTAAGGGGGATTAAAGGAATCTTACAGATGAACAGGAGAAAAGGGTACACGTGATGACCTAGAAAGAGTCTAGGCTTGAAAAGAAAAAATGTTCAATTTTGATGAGCACAGCGTATAGTATTCTAGCATTTGTGAAAATCAGAATCCTAAGGCAGTGATGGCGAACCTATGGCATGGGTGCCAGAGGCGGCACTCAGAGCTGTGGGCACGCACACCGTCGCCCCAGTCCTAGGCCTTCAGCTGGGTTTTATAAAACCTTTTCGCTTTAGCCCTCCGTTGCCATGTGCAAAAAAAAAAAAAAAAAAAGGTTCAATCAGTCAATTTCAACTTCTTGCGGGAAAAAAAAGATCTTGCAAAGTTGGAATTGATTGATTGAACTTTTTAGTCCCACCCAGTCTGCTGTTACCACTGCAGCCATGCCCAGCCAATGGGCCACGCCTAGCCAATGGGCCACACCCACCCGGCACTCGACGATGGATAATTGGGTTTTGGGTTGCTGTTTGGGCACTCAGTCTCTAAAACTGGTTCTCAACCTGTGGGTCGGGACCCCATTTGGGGTCAAACGACCATTTCATGGGGGTCGCCAAACCATGCTGTCCACCATTTTTTCCCTTTTCCCTAGCTGTCCTACTCCCTCTTATTGGTGGCCATACCCACTTGGGGGGTCACCACAACATGGGGAACTGTATTATGGGGTCACGGCATTAGAAAGGTTGAGAACCACTGCTCTAAAAGGTTCGCCATCACTATCCTAAGGGATTGTACTATATCAAAAAAAACCTTGAAACATAGCTGATCAATGTCTTTTGCTTTAAGGACTATACAAATTGTCAGTGCCTCAGAAGTTGCAGTGTGCTTGCTTCTGATTCTCCAATATTCACTCTGTATATTTTTGGTCCCTCTACCTTAAAATGTCCCTAACCATTTCCCCTGGTTTTCAGCATGTTAAAAATGTTTTATTTTGAATCCCATGGAACTTTTGTATTTGTCAAGCATACTACTTTGGTTGAACCAATTTATTGTCTTAACTTTACTTACTTGAGTTATGGGCCCTGGGAGACTAATACTCAGCAATTTATTGGTGCATTATTGCAAAAGTAAAATCCTTTTAGGATACTGTCAACCCAATGAATATTTCGCTAGCTTAGAGTTACTTCTTCCAAGACAGCAATACAATAATTATCAAAGGGGCAATATCTGCTAGAATCTGACTTGCATTGACCTGTGAAATTAACTCATCTATCATTTTCAAACTGAATCTTAAATGTCAGTAATTCTGTGTTCTAGAATCTAGATCAATGTTTTTCAAACTTGGTAACTTTAAAGTGTATGAACTTCGCCTCCCAGAATTCCCCAGCTGCCAAAATCTCTGGTCCATCCATCTTTAATTATTTTAGTTTTAACCAAAAATATCAAACAGAAAGCTGGCAAAGCACCAGTTTCTACCTTCATCTTTGTTTTACAAAAATGTCTCTGAGACTTAAATAGGCCTCACAGACATTCTTAAAAGTTGAAAATGGTGGATGGAGTATAATGGTAAATGTGTCTACCAACTTCCTAACAAATAAAAAAATATAGACAGATAGTGGAGAGTGTTATAGATAGCTAGGATTTTGCTTTAAGTGGGTGTTTTGAAGTTAAGCTCAGTTCTATAGCCATGTTGTAAACAGGCAGGTTCTTACCATAACAATCATGCTGTAAAGTGTCACATTTCTGTGATATATAAAGCATCCTGATTATGAAAACAGATGCAGATACCCAGTTTCTTAGACCTAACAATAGAGAATCAGGTTTTCTACAAAATCCCAACAGATTGTATTTTCTTGTTTACAGATCAAAGAAATGCTTCAGGCACTGGGAAAAATTCCATGAACTTGTTTATCCCAACAGTTTTGTATAGTGCTATGATTTTATTTACTATCACTAAAGTCTAAGGGAAAACATTAATAAATTTGCATACCTAGAAAGGTAAGTGTCTATTTGTTTTCCAATTAAATTTGTAATTTAACTCCATTTATTAACTTAAGTATTTATCACGTAGCAGTTATACAATACTAATGTACTTATCGGGAGCCTTTAATCCACTTTTATCAGCATATGGCTGTGTGATCATGTGTGAGTTTAGCAGCTAAGCAAGAAATCCTGGTTACTATTCTGATGGGAAACCAGCATTGTGGCTGGATGTACAATAGATAGGTAGACCGAAACTGTAGACAGGTGGGATGGCAATCCCAGTTCCAAACTATTGCCAAGAAGAGGGGTTTCCACAAAGTCACCAAAGATGAGATTGATTTTTAATATACTATTTTTTTATTTACTGTTACATTCGCTAACCTGATATTTGTTTTTTTCATGTCTCTCTCCCTCCCCCGTGTACTCTCTCTCTCTCTGTGTATACACACACACACACACACACACACACACACACACAATTGTATAAAACAATTTTATTTTCCCCATTATTTCTATGATTTCTATTTCTATAATTTTGACATGCCTCTTTCTGATCAAAGCAAGTTTAGCTCCTTTACTCTAAGGATGGAAGAAGTCTATGCAAATGTGTGATCAGGCATGTGAAAAGCAAAAGTATTTCCCCCCCCCCCCCGCCCCCGGCTCATTAAGCCTATTTTGAAACAGAATTTTGTTTTATACTATTTCCTGTTGCTGAGCTGTCAAATGTGTATTGAAAATGAACTAAGGTGCTTTCGTTTGAGAAACCAGACTTGAGAAATTTGAGAAGCTGAGGCTCTCCTGATGATAATTTCTTAACCATGAAGTGTAGTTTGTAGCACTGAGCCCAATTATTAGAAGTCTTAATGTTGGCATATCCATAGGAAAAGGTTGGCTAACCACACAGCTGATTATTTCTTACGTAAACCTCTTTTGTCTCTCTGCTGCTGCTTTTAGAAGAAGATCTGGAGCATCAGGTCAAGGATAAAGTTTGATGATTCATGCAGATGGAGAAGCCTGAGCAAATGCAAGAAGCAGTTCTTTTTTGTTGCTAGCGTTTTCCATTGTGCCTCCTCTTAGAAACTTCCTTAATGAAGTTGGACTGCGGAGGTAATTAATGCTGATCTCTCTGGTTTTCTTATGTTTACTGCTCATTCCAAATACTTGTGAAAAATGTGCAGGTTAGAAAATTTTTCCTATACGTTTGGGATTTTATTTTCAAGGCTCCCAGCTACATCCAGATGTAGCCTCACACAGAACAGGCGATAAATGAGAAAACATGCTTCTTCTTGTTCCAACGCAAACGCCAACCCATATGTGCCTGGTGTCATGATTCAAATAAGAGGCTGGGGCTTATCCTATAATATTGGAATGAACATTTCATGTTGGCACCTTTATGGCTAGCTGCAGATGCCTCTGGTCTGACTTCACATTTTTGGCATAGAAATGTTCTTTCTTAAAGCTAGCTCTACCATTAGATACTGTACAGCAGCATCTTAATCAACACATGATGAGGTCTTAGGAAATAGTTTTGTGTACTAGGGCAGGAGTCCTCAACTGTGGCAACTTTAAGACTTTGCCAGCATTGCTGGCTGAGGAATTCTGGGAGTTGAAGTCCACAAGTCTTAAAGTTGTCAAGGTTGAGCACCCCTGCACTATGGCACCTTCCTGGTAAGACAGCCCAGTATTCTCAAGCATTATGGAGAACATTGTCCTGTTAGTGTTAAATTAAAATTTAGCTGTCATTGTACAGTACTTGGCTTCTGGATGGCTATGAAGAGTGGCAATTCCACTTTGTCCTGTCCAGAGCTCTTATGAAACATTATAACTGATATTTTTTTAATACATTTACAAACTATCACAATGTAGCATGTGCAAGTATGAGTTACAGATCGGATAACTGCTGTTTCAAATCTTGCTGCAACTATAGTCTTAGACAAGCTAATGACATTCTGGATCTTTTCAATTATGATCAACAATCTTTCTTGTGGAGATGTTACCATGCTATAAATACAACAGATGTACAATCAACTGGAATAATCTCATCATTGCCAAATGGTAATAACACTTGTTTTTAGTTTTTGTTTAGCTTCTATTAAAAAAATAATTATTGATAATGGTTTCTAGTAAAGGCATCCTACTTAGTAGATAGGAATATTTAAAAATGCATAGTTCAGATTAACAGGGATATTAATAGGTAGTTGAAAAACACTATGAATCTCTGAGGAAGATTAAAAGTAGCAAAAAATGAACATGGCCTCAAGATTGATAAATACATTAACCAGGATGGTTTTTGTTAATTCCATTGGACAGTTTAGACAAATTGACTATTGATTAAGTTCCTATTGGATGTTAAATATGATTTCTGTTTCAAAAATGTGAAAGTGGAAGCTCTAACTCTCTAACTTTCCTGACTGTAAATTATATAATTCAGCATATTTATTAGTTTCTGTAATGTGTTCAGATGAAAATGATACTGGATATGTCTGACTCATGGCCCATTTGGAAAGTCAAGCTTTGGAATTCTTGAAATTCTGTATATACATGGTTCTAACTATGCTGGTGGTCCTCAACATATGCACATAATGGAGCCTGCCCATTACTGTTATATATTGTGTCTGTCATAAAACAAGTTGGTCAGGTGACCAGTCCAATTTTATGGCTTTTTTTTTTTTTTGCATCGTCATGCAAAACAGTAGGACAGTAGGAAATGCAAACCCATTTTTTTTGCTATGGACACAGTCTTGCTGAAAACCAGAAGTACCAGCTTTTCAGCAAATACATCATAAATTGTTGGAAGCTGCAAATGGCTAAATTCAGCTGTGCTGCCAAACACCTACAGTCATGTGACTGCAATTGTTGACTTTTTTTGCCAGTTTCTGGCAAGAATGCCCATTGGTGAAAATAGGTTTGCTTAAGGATTACGGAGTTCGCTTAGCGATTGTTGCAAAAAAAAAAAAAAAGTTGTAAAATCAGACAATGTCAGGTGGTAACATGCTCAACAATCACCATGATTGATGACCATAATTCCAGGCTTAATTATGGTCTTAAGTCAAGGACTACTTGTCATTAAAGCCTTTGTTATATTCTCATTTTGTTCCAAATGCTTTGCCTGCCTCCAAAGGCCCTAATTTTTTTTAACTTATAGGTTTTTATTAAGAGTAAAGTCATAATTCAGTACCACCAATAGTCTAAAATGTTTACACAAATAAATTTGGATAATATGCAAGAAAACTAGACTAGAGAATTCAAGTTTTCTTATTATAAAATCAGTGGTTTTAGATCTTAATTTATGTAAACTACGTTTTTTATGATTAAAAAATCCCCATTGTTTAGGTTTACTCGACTTCCTAGCGAATGTTCAAATAATTCTAGTTACTGTTCTTACGTTGGAGATGGAATGTGCATGCTTTGATTCTATCCGTCAATTACTGTTTATTGGTTGTATGTTTTTAATGCAATGAACCAGAGTTTGGGGAGGAAGTTAAAGACATTGATGTGCAGTTACCTTATATTTAAACAATCTGGAATTTTATTTTATTTATTATTTATAAAATGTATTGGCTGCCCATCTTACATAGGGCGGCTTACAGTTACGTAACATCTAAAACATTAAAAAGTTAAAAACAAACATTAAAACCAAAAACACACATGGGGGAAGGTGGGGGCAGAGAAGCATCTGTTATTACACAGTCAACCACCTCCATTGTGCTGTTCCCCTGCTGGGGCCCTAAGCCGACTGGCACAGCCCCATTTTTAGGCCCTTATGAAAAGATAGGAGGGTTGGGGCCAACCTCACATCGGGGGGGGGGTGATATTCCAGAGAGGAGGAGCAACAGCAAAGAATGCCCTACTCAGGCTGACGGGACCCGCAACATGCCTCCTCTGCCAGCACGAGTGGTACAAGCCAATCCCTCAATTTATCCATTTATTAAAAGATTTGGCTTTATCGTGCTTAAATAGTTGCCAAAAAAGATTGTATGCTCATGGAAAGACACTTAAACCCTAGATACAAAAAGCTAGATTAAAAAAACAAATAAAAATTGCCAGCTCTCAGCCTTTGAAATGGTTCTTTTATCACTCAAAAAAAACAGTGGATCGTGCAATTCTGTGTGATCAAAGGTGGTTCAAAACTTGAGTTACGGTACTTTTTCCACACAGATGTAATTGTTATACTTACAGCATTATGGAATAACTCAAATTCTCTTTTAAATATTTATACTTGCTTTTTAAATATTTTTTGTTGGCATTTTTTTTCAGGTAAAGGGTTACAGTTATAAGAAAAACAATGAAACGTATTTAAAAAAAACACACTTCCTGCTGTCTCTCAGCCTCAGTCTTTCTCTCTGTATCTTGTACGCTTCAGTGAAAGTAAAACTAAACGGTAAAACCCTGGGATTTTCTAAAAACCTCATGCATCCATTGCATGACCTGGACCTTGTGTTTCCAGATCAGATGACCAGTCTGTTGAGGTTACACGCCTATGTATTTGTTTTATAAACTCTAATTCTGTTGAGACAGCAGCGATGCATTTCTTCATATTATAAAAGAAATCACAAGGCAGCTGGAACCTTGCAAGTTCACCCCTTTCTCCTGGCAACTGCAGTTGTGACAAGTATGTGAACAGGGTATATTCATGTAGACTTCATCCACAAGGTGTGTTTGAGTAGGGGAAATGCCCCCCCCATGTGGAATTTCATAGGTGTACAGATGTATTTTAGTCTTCTAAACTGGTAATGTGCCAATTACCCCCCCCCTCGGCCATTTATAAGATGGTTTTAAGACTGAGGCATTAAACCCAGTTTTAATTGAGTTTTTGATTCAAAAGGCAAGTACCATTAATAATTAATAAATCCAGTTTCTCATATGGCTCCTCAAAAAAATGAATCGCCCATTCGCTGCTGCAGAGTGCAGTCAAGGAAGCCGACATACCAGCCACAAGGGCATTTTATATGCATTGCATATTAAAAAACAAACAAACACCTTTTTGACTATTTTTAACCATACTCTGCAGATACTTCTGGTGGCGACTGTAGGTGAACTTCTTCAGATGATTCCAAGCGGCATGGAAGCTCAGATAAAAAAGGTGTTCTCTCGGGCAGCCTAGATCTAGGGCCATTTAAGGCTTTAAAAGTCATAAGCAAAATTTGTGGGTGGCCTAAAAAGGAACAGTCAGCCAGCGTTTTAAACAAAAGAGGCAATAACGCACTTTTATTCTTCTCAAAAGTAACCCAGCTGCCAAGGTTTATACTAACTGAATTGGGGGGGGGGTCCTTGGTGGTCTCTGAGCTTGGTTATTTTCTTGTAGACATTTCATTACTAAACTAGCTAACATTTATCAGTGCTAGAAGGGAGTAGGGCTTCTTCTTTATTTATCTACTCTTTCCCTTCTAGCATTGATGATGTTACCTAGTTTAATAATGAAATGTCTACAAGAAAATAACCAAGCTCAGAGATCACCAACAATCCCTTGTTTCAACCATGAGCCTACAGTACAAATATTCTCTTCTATCAGTACTAACTGAAGCTTCTAGTAAAGAAACAAAAGCAACCCCATGTAGCAAGCATTGCTGGAAGGGATCCTGGGGTTTGCAGCAGGTACGTTTTACTTACATTATCTTCCAGAATTGGATACATCGGACAACGAAAGTCAGTAAAAGGTACTCCTAGCCTTGTCTGTCTGGTTAACAGAAAGTGAGATTGGGATCCCAAAGCACTCCCAAAACTCAATATTTGCTCTTTCTGTAAAGGATAATCCCACTCAGGCTGATATTGTTACCTTGCTAGAATTAAAGCCCCTCACAAGGAACAGGCTTACATTTAGTTTCAAGGTATTATTCCCCATGGAGCCCTTTACTGACTTAAATTGATCCCTAAATGATTTATCACTCCATCAAATGGTTTTATAATTATCAACAAAAGTGCCTGCAGGGCAGAAGGTGGATTAGAAAGAAAGCAGCACTGCTCTGCAATTTTTGTATGCATGACATTACACAAAGACAAGAAAGTGACAGAGCTTGTGGTGGCCCCAAGTAACTCTGATTAAGAGGGATTATGCTATTCAAAGAAAATATACTACTTGCATTACTGGCTTTTCCACTCTTTGATCCAGAATCTTTGAAGGAAAATAATAAGTAAACATAGTTGAGACAGCTGTAATGCTTTTGTTTTGAACTAAAGTTAAGTTTCCAATATAAGACGTGGTACAGCTCCCCCTTGTGTTTTCCACTGTATTCAGATTACACATCATATTTTTTTTAGAAATGATGAACACTGAATTTTAATATGGAAATAAAAAGCATTATTCAGTGAAATTTTGTCTTATTGCTCACCACCTGTTTTTATTAATACATCCAATGTACATTCAGCAAAGAATGTTCAAAACTACCCAAAACACAGCATTATCATTACAATACCTTGAATATTTCCATTTTATGTCTTGAAGCATGACACTCAAAAGGAATATCCAAGATGGTTTTGATCAAATACAACTTAAAATAAGGAACTATTTTAGGGACTATTTTATTTAAGTGGGGATACAGCTTTGACTCCTCTACTGTACAATTAAAAAAATAAAATGTTATCTTTAAGTCTTTGATAGCTGCTGCTGAATTTTTATTGTTTGTATATATTTCTGTGTATTGTGTTTTGAGGGTTATAGGAAGTAAAGTCATGTATTGCATATAGCAATAGTAAAGGGGCATCTAGAGCAGGCATGTCAAACTTGCGACGTATCGTGACTTTTTCCCCATTGCCAGCAATGGGGTGGGTACAGTTTTGGTGTGACGCATGTGGCCCGTGGGCCGGTAGTTTGACATGCCTGATCTAAAGGAAGAAAGTCACACATTTAGCTTGAGATTAACAAATAATTACAGTAATAAATAAAGCTACTACTTCTGGTACTTTACTTGATTACATTTATTTGTGGCAGGTGTTCACATTTCTAAAGATACTAAAAGCAATGGAACCTTATGTCATATAAAAAATAAGGAAAGCATTGTCTATTTTTGCACAAGAAAAATGGAAATGGCTGTCAACAAAATATATAATGTTCTTAGCGTTACAAATATTGCTACTCTTTAGAAAATATTATTTAAAAGTATTTTTACTGATCCATATAGAAATGTAATATCCAGAATGTAAAGGGGAAAAACAAATGATTTTCAACATAGCTATTAAAATAAGTATGTGCTACTTTGACTTTGCAATAAAAATGCATGCCCATGGGAGAAAATAAGCAAGTGCCAACTCAGAGTACATTCCAGAAAGAAACTGGCCGTATACTATAACTACAGTGAATTATCTCCAGCTGGCATGAGCTGTTATTTCTAATTGCAAGTTTAATATGCATACTGTGCTTACAAACTTCTTTGTGATCACGTTCTTATATATTGCAGAACGTATTCTGTGTTACGAATGAAGGCAAACACTCTGTGTTTGCCATAGAGGTTCTACATCTTATTAATACAAACAATTGGAAAATCTCAGAAGAAATGTGATCCTGCTTATTGGAAATTATCAATTATCTTTTATTTCATCATCCATAGCATGCTCAGATAAGAGGCACTCTACTCTATTCTACTTTTGTTCTAGTAATTAAGACACTGGGCCAGCAACCAGGACTGAATTTTATTCTTGCCTTAGGCATGAAAGCCAACTGGATGTCTTTGGGCTAGTCATTCTCTCAACCCTAGGAAAAAGGCAAACCACTTCAATTATTATTTTTTTAACAAGAAAATGGCATGGATTTATCCAGTTAGTCACCAAGAATTAAACCACACTTGATGGAAGGGGAAAAAAAGCAAACAAAACATTAATAAAATCCACTCAATTGTTTCCTGAAGATGGTTTGGAAAAATGTAGATGAACATATCTAGAAGGCAACTACATAGGAAAAGCTGCACTAATGCAATCTATTGTGTTTTGAGCTGCTTTTGAAGAAAGTTTAATTAACTTGAAAATTTCTATGGACAGCAATAAAATATGTATTAAGAGACTCATATGTCCTGCATGATGGCTAGAGCAGAAAATTATAAAGCTCCCTTGGGAAAAAAAATTGTTAAAAGTTCTTTATTAATACTGTGCAACATCTGTTTATGATTTTTAAGCAAAGGCTTCTGATAGTATTAAGTATGGATTGATATTTCTGCTTAAAAAAAAATCTGAAATAAAAATGGCTGTAACTTCCCAAAGAGACAATATGTTCACTCAAGCTATTTCAAGCATAGTTCTATGCTTACTGTACCAATAAGTGCAATCATAATAGTGTCTTTTGAATTTTATATTTAATTGTGAAATCAGAACAATTACAGGATTGAAACCTAGTTTTCTATTTAGAATGGTAAGTTCAGATTTGAATAAGTCTTTCAGTGCAGATACAAATCCACTATTTGCAAACTACAGCATTTCCGATTTACACTGGTAAAATCAATGCATGGTTATAGTGAATTTTTTGCAACTCAACATTCACAACTTTTATAGTGAATAGCTGCCAGTATTTCAACTTTAAAAATCAGTTAACAGAATATGCTATTTTGGAGTTAAAACTAAAAATAAACTACTCATATTTTGCTTATATTTTATATTTATGTAAATTGTACTGAATTTTCACTATTAAGCACTTTCACTATTGCAATGGAAGTCAATGGATAAGTGCTTAATCTCTTTAAGATTCTACAGTATGTACAAAATTCTTTGTGCAGCTTTTTAACTTGTTTTCCAGAGACAGTTATATAAGAAACAGGGAGACCACTGCTTCTGATATGTCAGTTCTACAATCCAAGAAATCTCTTGAGATTTTGTATATCAGACACAATTTTGGGATTCTCTGTTTCCATAGCACCAATTTTTGCATCAGTAAATGTATGCCCCATTTTTTAAACCAATCTTCTTTATATATATATTTGTTTTGCTAAGAGTTTCATTAGCACTTATCTTATAATAAATTAAACATATGTCATATATTGGAATGTTTCTTTGGTAAATATTTGCACTTCAAACAATTCAAACAAAAGTAGTCTCCAGATCATTTTCACTCTCACACACACACATTTTATTCAGTTTTGTTGTTTCTAAGGGTCTTTCACAGGAGAAAAAAAAGCTGAGGATTTCTTTTCTGCTTGAACTAACAGAAGCATATGTTCTTATACAGTTTCATAGACGAATCAATCCCCCACTTCATCACATTATAATGCCATATGGCTTTGTCATATGAAAGCTTTTGCATTTGAGTGCATCTATTATAATTTAACTTATATGCAGAGCACATCATGAGAAAGGCAGCGCTAGATGAATTAAAAGTTGGAATTAAGATTGCTGGGAGAAATATCAACCACCTAAGATATGCAGATGATACCACTCTAATGGCAGAAAGTGAAGAGGAACTAAAGAGCCTCTTGATGTGGGTGAAGAAGGAGAGTGCAAAAGTTGGCTTGAAACTCAACATTAAGAAAACCAAAATCATGGCATCCGGCTCTCTCAATTCCTGGCAAAGAGGAAGAAATGGAGGCAGTGACAGATTTTATTTTCCTGGGCTCCAAGATCACCTCAGATGGGGACTGCAGCCAAGAAATTAAAAGACGCTTGCTCTTGGGGAGGAAAACTATGGCAAATCTAGACAGCATTCTAAAAAGCAGAGACATCACCCTGCCAACAGAAGCGCGTATAGTCAAGGCCATGGTTTTCCCAGTTGCAATGTATGGATGTGAAAGTTGGACCATAAGAAAGGTTGAGCGCCAAAGAATTGAGGCCTTTGAACTATGGTGCTGGAGAAGACTCCTGTGAATCCCCTGGACTACAAGGCGATCAAACCGGTCAGTCCTAGAAGAGATCAACCCCGACTGCTCTTTAGAAGAAAATACTTTGGCCACCTAATGAGAAGGAAGGACTCACTGGAGAAGGGCCTAATGCTGGGAAAGATTGAGGGCAATAGAATAAGGGGACGACAGAGAATGAGGTGGCTGGATGGAGTAACTGAAACAGTAGGGGTGAACTTAAATGGACTCCAGAAGATGGCAGAGGACAGGAAGACCTGGACTTCGCAATTAACAACAAAAATTAGTAAAAGACTCAAATACTGTATCTTTACAGCAATCAGCCAAGCGGTAGAAATTCTGTAACAGTGTAACTGAACTCTGCCTTAGGCGCAGTTCATCTTGTTTCAATTTCAAAAGGAACTTTTAAACTACAGTTAATGAAACTGATCACAAGATGTGTTGATCGCGGAGAGATAGGGAGTGGACCTTAAATTACAAGACGCACCTGCCTTTGTGGTGGGGATTATTTATTTATCGCATGGCACATTCACATCCCATAAAAACACAAGAGATAAAAACGATAACAACAAATGAAATATAAAATCCGACAGGGAAGCCTTGATGAAATACAGTGCATGTACGTTTGGACTGACCCCTTCAAAACGATCTTTTGCCGATAAGAACACCTGTGCGAGTCTGCCTAATTCCTTGGCCATCAGCGTGGAGAAAAGAAACCGAGTCTGCATCCCGGGAAAGCCAAAAGCAAAACCGTGACCTGCTGCCTTCCCCCTCCCCGCGATCTCCCAACCGCTTTGGAGTTCGGGATCCAACCGCAAAATGGAGAAGTCCTCCACTGCATAGGCAATGGGGGGGGGGGTTGTTTTCTTCCGTTCTAGCTTTTCTCGGTGGTTCTTCCGCAGATCTAAAACGTCACCTCCGGTTTCTCCTACGGACCCTAGGCCAATCACGGCATCCTCTACCCCGAATTCTCCGCCCCCTTTTTCCAACCAGTACTGAGTTGCCGTCCTGAGGCAAACAGGGCTCAGCTCCCCCCTTCGGGTCGTATGCGTCTCTCGCTTGCTCTTTCTCCTTCTTCGCCCCCGCCCCCCCTTCTTTCCACAGCCAGACGCCGACGTAGCAGAGAGAAAAGAGATGGCGGCGGCGGCGGCCAAGGCAAAGGAAGCCGCGGCGGGAGGAGCGCGAGGCACCCGCAAGGTTAAGGCGACGTCGCGAGGGCGCCGTCTTGAGCTGTAACCGTTCTTTTCCCTTAGGACGCCCCCCCCTCCCCCCGGTCCCATAGCTTCAACCCGCCAGAAAGGCAGCTCCGACTCCCTCCTTCTTCCGAGCGTCTCTCAGCCTTGCGAGGGGCGACGCCGGCCGCCGAGAGGAGCTTCCATCCCTTCGCTATTATGCTGGTACCTCTCGGGAACGCCGAGAGCCTCCCGGCCGCCCGAGACAGATGCTGAAAACCCTTCTGGCTCCGGCCACCGTTTCTGCCTGCTAGGACGGCGCCTGGCCGGGACGCTGGGTTCCTCTCCAGCTATGTATTTCCTCAGCGGCTGGCCCAAGAGGCTGCTCTGCCCTATAGAGGCTCAGGAGCCCCCGCTCGGTATTCAAGCCGACCCGCAAAGGACTTTGTTCGCCGTGTTGTCCCCGTCCCAGCTCAGCATCTGGTACAACAGGGTGAGTAAAGCTGCTTCACCGCGTCGTCACCCTATAATCACCTGCCTGTTTTTTTTGGCTATCATCTCCTCCCGAAGCTCTTTTTTTTTTTTTTCCACCCAGCCAGATTGCTCCATATCTGACTTTAGCGTGCCTTTCTTTCCCCTCTTGGGTTTGAATAGTGAGAAAGGTGTTTGTATGTATATATGTGTGTATGTGTGTGTGTGTGTGTGTGTGTATATATATATATATATATATATATATATATATATATATGTGTGTGTGTGTGTGTGTGTGTGTGTGTGTATAGTGTGTATATGTATATGTGCCTTCGCGTGTAGCCTCATTGGGATGCGATGCTGAATTTGGAAATACTTTAGAAAACGTGGCTCCAACAAAACTTGTGGCTTCGGTTTGTGGTATGGCTAAGCTGAATGTGACTGTGTTAATGTTATCCTTTTAAATGTGGGTCCTTTGCCTCTTCTCTTAAAGCTTCAGATTGACAGCATAGTTAGATGTATTTTTAGTTACTTAATGGGCTCTAGATGTGTGAGAAAGTTGAGTGCAAAGGGATGCTTACTTAAAAAGAAAGGGCTTGTTTTGCAGATTGGCTGTGTTGTATCATTCTTGGAATGCTTTATTTTCTTTTGAACTTTATTGGTATTTCTTAATCTCAGTTCCAAATCTGCCTTCAGATGCATACAGGTAGTCCTTGATTTAAATTTGTTGCTGAGGAGACATTTGTTAAGTTAGCTGTTAAGTTGTTAAGTGAATTGTTGCTGTTGTTAAGTTAGTAACACAGTTAAGTGAATCTGGCTTCCCTATTGACTTTGCTTGTCAGAAGATCACTAAAGGTAATCACATGACCCTGGAACACTGCAACCATCATAAATATATACCAGTTGCCAAGCATCTGAATTTTGATCACATGACCATGGGGATGCTACACTGGTCGTAAGTGTGAAAAATGGTCATGTCACTTTTTCAGCGCTGTTATAACTTTGAATGGTCACTAACCAATGGTTGTAAATCAAAGACTTCCTGTAGTTGTAATGGCTTGGGCAAAGGGAAAAAAATAATTTTAAGAAACTGTTGGCCGCTTTTAAAAGGAGCAGCAGAACTGCATTCTCAAGAGTTCAATCCTGTGATATTTTCCTAACATATTTACATTTTAGGCAAATGGCAATAACTCCTATTGAATTTCCATTTTGTATACATGTAACAATTATGAAAAGCATTTAAGTTTGTACCTGAAATGTTCATAAATTTGAATTTATTCACTTCATACATTTGTTCCATTGGATATCAGAATCCATGGAAGGCGCAGGATGTGCTGTTTATGTAAGATACATAAGAAATGTATTTAGAAAGAACCAACTAACAGTAATGATGAAGGTAATTTGGTGGATTTAAATTTTGTGTAAGAGTGAAATGTATTTTAATAACTTAGTAATCACATTTCTGACATACAGTATAGTACTGTATATTCAATTACTATATACACCATATGGTGCCCATGCCTTAACAATTTTTGTTCTGTAACTGAATTTGAATGTATTTTTAATATGATAGTGTAATGTCCCATCAATCTGTTGGTCTAAATTTAACATTGACATTTTGATTTTATAAAATCCAGAAAGAAAATTGAATTTGAGTTGTTCCATTTGCCTTAGCTTCTATTTCAGTTGGTATCTATGATGCAATATTGTGTTATAATGGCAGTCTGTTAGTTCTAGTAGTTATTTCTTTGTGAGCATTGGTTTCAAAATAGTCAAGTAAGTTAGTGTAAGTCTACAATTCCCTACAAAGCTGTTATCATTCAAAATAATGATCTTAAATATGTTTATCATACTATTACATATGTTTGCATTAGAGTACCATTTGCTTGGGACAAAACAATGTGTTTTTATATCAGATTTGATGTTCCATAAAAACATAATACTGGAAGGTATTAAAATTAAAATGATTGGACAACCTCCTCAAGGGATTTCTTAATTTACAAAAAAGGTAGAGATGGAGCAATAAAGAAATTTAAAAAGTGAATATAAAAAAAAGTATCAGATATAATACTAGAACTGAAGACTAGAGAATCAAATGCAAAGGATGAAAAAGAAAATATATTACCTGTTGTTGTTGTTAATTGCGAAGTCGTGTCCGACCCATCGCGACCCCATGGACAACATTCCTCCAGGTCTTCCTGTCCTCTACCATCTTCTGGAGTCCATTTAAATTCACACCTACTGCTTCAGTGACTCCATCCAGCCATCTCATTCTCTGTCGTCCCCTTCTTCTATTGCCCTCAATCTTTCCCAGCATTAGGCTCTTCTCCAGTGAATCCTTCCTTCTCATTAGGTGGCCAAAGTACTTGAGTTTCAACTTCAGGATCTGGCCTTCTAAAGAGCAGTCGGGGTTGATCTCTTCTAGGACTGACCGGTTTGAACGCCTTGCAGTCCAAGGGACTCGCAGGAGTCTTCTCCAGCACCATAGTTCAAAGGCCTCAATTCTTTTGCGCTCAGCCTTTCTTATGGTCCAACTTTCACAGCTATACATTGCAACTGGGAAAACCATGGCCTGGACTATACGCACTTTTGTTGGCAGGGTGATGTCTCTGCTTTTTAGTATGCTGTCTAGATTTGCCATAGCTTTCCTCCCCAGGAGCAAGCGTCTTTTAATTTCTTGGCTGCAGTCCCCATCTGAGGTGATCTTGGAGCCCAGAAAAATAAAATCTGTCACTACCTCCATTTCTTCCCCATCTATTTGCCAGGAATTGAGAGGGCCGGATGCCATGATTTTGGTTTTCTTAATGTTGAGTTTCAAGCCAACTTTTGCACTCTCCTTCTTCACCCGCATCAAGAGGCTCTTTAGTTCCTCTTCACTTTCTGCCATTAGAGTGGTATCATCTGCATATCTTAGGTTGTTGATATTTCTCCCGGCAATCTTAATTCCAACTTTTGTTTCATCTAGCCCTGCCTTTCTCATGATGTGCTCTGCATATAAGTTAAATAGGCAGGGCGACAGTATACAGCCTTGCTGGACTCCTTTTCCAATTTTGAACCAATCAGTGGTTCCGTGTTCGGTTCTCACTGTTGCTTCTTGACCCGCTTATAGGTTTCTCAAGAGACAAATGAGATGGTCTGGTACTCCCATCTCTTTAAGAACTTGCCACAATTTCCTTCTCCAGTGGATCACATTTTGTCAGAACTCTCTGCTATAACCTGTCCGTCTTGGGTGACCCTGCATGGCATAGCTTATAGCTTCATTGAGTTATGCAAGCCCCTTCGCCACGACAAGGCAGTAATCCATAAAGGGGATATATTACCTACAGTTCACTTTCTCAACAGGTATTAATCATCTACATGGCATTAAACAATTTTGAATGCAGTTCTACATATACTTACACAAGAATAAACTCTGAACTAAATACCAGAATGTACAAGGATAGAATTATGCATTACATAGCCTTTGGATGGCTGTTAGTTGTAAAGGATGAATACAGTTTATTTTTGCTTATAATTTATCATTTATCTTTCCATTTTTCTGGCGAGGAGGGCAAGTTTATAATCCATTTGCAAACATGTAAAAATGTATTTAGTGCATATAAGGGCCTTTAATGTAACATTGTTCTTATTTTCTTACATCCAATGTAATATGTGCTTGTGATTAGGTTATTTGTGCAAATACAGAAAGCCTTTGTTATCTTCAATTTTGTTCTAGTGTTTTACATATGTATAATTTTTTAGATTTTTTTCTGTATTTTATATACCCAAATCCCAATAGTTCTGAATAGTCACCAACCTTTATTTGTACTCTTCATCCTGTCCTAATGACTTCACATGAAGTTGTGAATTCTTTGATAGAATCTTCAAACAGAGTTGATGTAATAGAATCTATTTTGAGATGGTGTTGGATTATATGACCACTAAGTCTCTTTCCATTTCCGATTCTATGAGTAGATTGCCAGCTTGTATAGATAAATATTTTTAGACAAATGCCTAGATTTATACATGTGTCTATAAACATCAATGGTATCAATTATTTGTAATGTGTTTTATGTAAATATGGCATCAGAATTGTAAATAATTTTCAATATTAACAAGCATTGCTGAGAAACTAATTTTTTCAATCTCTGCTATCAGATTAGAAATTTCCTTTTTTAATTGCAATTGGATATTAACAATGCAAGCTATTTTATTATATGCTTTGTTATATCCACTATTAGATAAAATATCACTGAAATGAGTTTGATCCAGAGGTTTCTGTCATTAAAGTAAGAATGGAAGCAATATTTAATATGATTTGTTCCCAATAGAGCCAGTTCTGTTCTGTGTAATGGAGGGACCTTTTGAACAGTTTGTGGGGTAGAAGGACTGCGGTTAAAAAAACCCCCAAACCAATTCAATAGAGCAGCTAAGAAGTTGGGCTAGAAACCAGGAAAAATGTATTTTAGGCATGGGAGATGGCTGGGTAACATTGAGACAGTCACTCCCTTGGCTCAGCCTACCTCACAGGACTGTTGTGGAGAAAAGAGGATACATATGAGCACTACCTTGAGTTGACAATAGAAAAGAGGGGTTTAAAAAATTGAAAAGAGGAACTTTTTCAATTTCTGTTACTGCTAACAATATTTTCTACTGCATCAAAGTATACCATCGTGTGAGTCCAGTTTACAGCAACCATTTGCAAACATGTTTTCACTTGTAAATTGCAGTCCAATTTTATGTAAAGCAGTTTTTTTTCTGAAATTATGAATATGTACACTCTTTTGGGTGGATGAAGAATTGGATGACCTTTGTATTTTTTTGGAAAAAGACAATAAGATTATGACCCTTTATTAAAATCTAAGGCAGTAGAGGGAAAGGAATAGGGTCAGTGCAAGAGCCAACTTAAGATACTTAATATGACTTCCAGGTTTCAATTTCCAACCCTTTTGGGCCAATAGATGGATTTGGAACTGTGCCATAGTTGTACTAAATAAAGTGGCCAACATCGGAAAACTATTAACAATTCACTAAATACTGTTG